AAACGAAAGCGAAGGGCCGGAGGAGCTCCCCCGCCCCGCGGCGGGGGTGGGCGCGGGGCGCAGCTGCGTAGCCCGGCGAGACGAGCGCTGCTGGCCTCGGGCTCCGCACCCGCGCTGCCTGACGCCCGGGGCGGCTGGGCTTCACCCCCGCGGCTGGAGGCAGGTCGGGGTGAGCTGGTCCGTGCGCTCCAGCGCTGCCCGGGGCTCACGGGGCCCTTGTCCCACCGCTGCAGGGCACCCCAGCAGCTCCCACAAGGGGGACCCTCCTTGCCACTGCACCCTCTAGCCCTCACCATTGCACCAGGACCCCGCAGGCCTGCATCTGCTCATCCCAGTGTCCAAGCGGTTGCTACCAGAACTAGGAAGCTAACAAACCTCCTTCTGCTCCTTCCCCCCGCCCCCCTGCTGTCCTGACCAACAGCAGCCCAAAGTTTGCTAGCTTTTCGCTCGGCCCAGTGCTGGACACCCTGGAAATGCCATCAGGTGGGGCCTGGTCTTGTCCTACAGCAAAACTTTTGCTACCAGGATGAGCCAGCCTGTCCAGCAGCAGGTAGGTTGGATTGTAGGACGAAGGGGGGAGCTAGGGTGACACTGGGCACCTCTCTCCACCAGACCTTGGAAGGAAAGAGCATAGATGTACCCATTCAACAGCCAGACAGCTGAATCTGGCTGACCCGCATACACAGGCTGAAAGGAGCGGAGTAGGTATCCTCACCAATCACAACTTTGCACAGCCGCTGTAAGACCTGGCACCTGCAACGGCTGATGGGCCTGAACCCCAGTCCAGGTGTTCATCTGTACAGCAATGCCCTGGGTGTGTAAATGAACCCAGCAGAGGATGTGCTTCCTGCAAAGCCCAAGTCAGCAGGCTACATCCTACACTTACACACTCATGAGTGCTTGCCCCCTCTCCCCACTTTGCTTCCAGCAGGGCCCCTGAGTTGCTGTGGTGACAGAAAAGCTGGTATTCACACTCCTTCACTTACCACATGGGGATGGGAGAACAAAGCCTGCTTGGAATAAAGCATCATCAAGGCCACTGTACTCAGTAAATGACTGGTGATGGTCATGCCGTCCCATGCTCCTACTGTGCTTGGCACAGGTTCTCATCTGCTTCCAAGCTGAGCTAAACACTGCTTATTCCACAAACCAGGAAGTGGTTTGTCCTTTTACCTGCTGCTCACTTCACTTTATGCAAAACATCTTCCACAACAGATTCTAGCATCATTTCATAGCATGTGAAGAAGCAGGTTGTCACCTATGAAAGTTTATGCCTCTCAGTCAGTCACCAGGGTGACACGGTGCCATGAAGTCCTTTTAAGGGTGATGCACAATATTAGCACTGTTAGATATGCAAGCACCTAAACAGGGTTAACAAGATAAACCCAGAGATTTCAAACAGGAATCCATACTGTCAAAAACACTGATCTGTAGTGGTCTTTCTGAGTTCTTTGCCACAGAAGAATTGCTCTATAATTTTCTGTAGTTAAAAAAATGAGAGAAAGCTAAGAACTGAAGTTTTTTGAGGAGTGCCCTGAATCTAACAAGGGGTGCCTTGAGTCGAAAGAGGTTGATAACCACTGCTTGAAAGTGCTACTCTACCCTGCCTTCGGCCTAACATCCTAATGATGGCCAAGGCTCTCCCCTCACCTCCACTGCTTGGCAGAGCCTTCCCACTGTACAGCACCAAAAGCAGAAAGCCCTAAAATAGGTTTCTTTCTCCAATTCTCTCTTGCAAAGTCCTTATCTCTTAGTAGCATCCAGATCTAGAACAGAGGATGTGGGGGGCAATAAAGAGTCAGACCCAAGACTGCAGGCAAAGGAACTTAAACAGCTGTTCCAACACTTTAATTCCACACAAACCAGACCACGATGCTCCATTATAAGGTTTGATTCATTGGTAAAGCCCTTCAGAGAGAAGTCTGCCCTCTCAGACCCAGTCCTCAATCCTGAATGCCAACCATGCTCTGGCTACTGACTGGGGAGGAGTATCATTCCGTGTCTTCCTCAAAGATGGCTAGCCCATGTTTACCTGCTGGGACATAGCCAATGGCATCCACCTCACCCCCACCCTGGCTTGGCTTCTGGAAGTGAATCTCCAAGGCATCCTGCATGGCCTCCTCATCTAAAACATCTGGAATCCCCGACAGGAGCACGGTCCTGGTGCAGATGGATGGACGGAACTAGAGGAAAGAGAAGCTGAGTGAGCCTGCCAAAGCCCTTGAACACCCATTGGTTCTTGCTGGCACTGTCTCCCTGGGCAGGTGCCTGAGCTGTGGGAAGGGCAGCTGCGGGGAAGGGAGAAAGGAGCCCCTTTCTGGCTAGAGTTGAATGTCACATTCAGATCTCAGCTCTAGAACCAGGGCAGGGCAAAGATGAGAAACAGCAGGGCAGTGATGAGATAAGGCAGCCCACACTAACGTGCAAACCCTCAGCCCACTGACTGCAGGACCCAGGGGCATGACAAGTACTTCATAAAGCCCCTCTGCCTGGTCTGGCTCTGCTGAGACAGTGCCAGCTGCCTCTGCCTACACCTCAGCTAGGTCCCTCCTTTCCCCCTGGGAGGAGTAGTGCAGCCCCGGTGCATCTAGCTGGGCTTAAATTTCCCCCCACAGGGACTTACAGGAATGCAGAAGGAAGCTTTCCTAGTAGGGTTCTCTATCGCCAACTCTCAGCCTCTCCCCATTTTGGCCTTGCTGGGGCACCCAAGCCGGGGGAGCATGTGCTACTGTACAGAGTGGGTTGGGGCTCATCGGGAGGGCAATGGATAGGGGTACACTGAGATTTTTCAGTGCAGTGAGGGCTGGACAAAGGTGCACTGGGGTGTAGTGCATTTTGGGAGCAAGCAGAAACAAGCATATAGGGTTCATATAAGAGGTGAGAGAACACTGGGGCTCCCATACCTACCTGCACGTCTGTGATCGCTCCACTCACATTAGGTTTCACTCTGACTTCATGTATCGTGTTCCCAAATGGGATCTGGAAGTGCCCTTTCTTTATCAGCTCCTCCACCACTGCAGAGGGAGAGCGGAGAGTCCTGAGCACCAGCTACCTTCATCTTTGCTGTGTGCTTGGAGGATGTGGGTTCACTCAGGTACTAGCACAGGCATCTACAACCCTATGGAGAGCCCATAAGAGCCAGAACAGCCCCTGGGAGCTGGAGCTGTCCAGTCTGCTCCACCCTCCTCCTCCTCCCTCTCTGCTGCTCTCACAGACACAGAAAGGAGTTCATTCCACCCCAGCCCTGTAGGAGAGCAGCTGGAATGGCAGCTGACAGGGGGCTTGCATCTAATCCCTCCATGCTGATGGCCCAGTGCTTAAGGTGTCCACACACACCTCCATCATGCATGAAGGACAGCACCACGTGCCTCGTGTCGCTCAGGAACTCCCTCCATTCCACCTCACTGCCCCCGTTTTTCTTCTTGCTGAAGAAGAGCTCCAGCTTGTCCAGCAGCTGCTCCTCAGACAGATCCAGGTTGGGCAGGCTAGATACCAGAATACGCCTGCTGCTCCTCTTCATCTCAATCTGCAGAGCCAGTGTGGGGCAGTTATGGCTCTAGCCACGGCAGTGGGACCACAGCTGGCAGGACACTGCAGGGTTTTGCAGGGGTAGTAGTGACAGTGAAGCTACATTGCCTATGCCTTAGCCCTGGGTACCCACCAACACTGTATTGGGAAAGCTTCAGGCTAATTATGTCCTTAGTTATCTTAGTAACAGACACTGCTCACTCAACAATCAGATATATGCCCACGGCAGGGACAGGGACACTATCTGTCCCTGCTTGGCTCAGCCTGGCCCTATAGTGAGTGTGTGTCGGGGAGGGGCAAGTTCTTCTTTGGGAGACAGGAGTCCTAATGGAGGGTGTGATAGGCAAGCTGTTTGGGGAACAGGCCTCACCTCCAAAGATGATGGCAACAGCAGCTCTACTGGCCCTGCCCACACTCGCACCCGGCATTCATCCAGCTCCACCTCATGTTCCTGCTTCTGTATGATCCTGCGGGCAACTGTGGACAGAAAGAAACCCATCAGGTCTGCAGGGGGTGATGGGCTGCTCTGGAACCAAAGAGGGAACCCAGAGCAGGACATGGCACCAGCCAGATGGACAGAGAGAGGCAAGGCTGTCAGGCATGGTCTTGACTCTCTAATTTGGTGGTGAGATCAAAAAGGTAGCAGGGCTCTACAATACTGATGGGGCAACTCCAGGCTCCTATGTGAGAAGCCTATATGCCAGGGCCCCAACCCCAGGCCCCTCTGGAGAAGGAAGCCAAAATAGACACTGTTCCATGTAACCCATGCACTGCACATAGCCATGAAGGCCTCTTGAGTATGAGGCTGTGCACTGAGCAGAGGTAGGTTAGTTGGCTGGGGCTGCAACGCTGTTCTCACTCTTACCTTCTGGGTTCTCAAAGGTGATGAGTGCTGAGCCACCAGCCAGTGGGTACTGGATCAACAGAGTCATTGCCAGTGAATTTGTGTCCTCCCTAGTCATGTGTCCTTTGAACACCATCTTCCGCTCCAGCAGGGAAGGCAGCACCTGGGGCCAAGCCTGCAGGGCAAAATAGGACACGGTTGTGGCCCATGGTGGGCCACCAGTCCAAAGCAAGGGCATGGGGCTCAGTGGCCCACCCCACAGAACCACTGCTAGGGACTCAGTAATTCCCAGTGCCCCAAAAGCTGCAGCCTTTGGTCTGGTGTCCTATCCACTCTCACCAGTTAAGCAGGGTCAATGACTGACTGGTCATGTAGGAAACATTCAGGGAGTGTACAGGTGACCCCAAAGGGATACCTGGGCCCCAGAGGTGGGAGTGATTCTGATGCTGCACGTACCGTGCTGTTGAAGGCAGCCTTTTCAGCCGAGATGCAAAAATTAAGTCCTGAATGAACTGTCTGTATTCACTCAAAACCCTTGGCTGGGCCCAGCATCTACTTCAGTAAAACCCCAGCTTGAAGTATTCAGAGGCTTCTGTGGCCCTTCAAAGACAGCTGGAGCCCAAACTGACCTGTTCTGTCATAGAGCCCAGCCAGAGTTGGGGATAACTGCCAGCTGCAGATGGGGTGAGTGGGAAACCTGGCTGAATGCTCCTCAGTACCTTTTCTTGCTCATTGTAGGCATCTCTCCTCTTCTCCAGCTCTTTCAGTTCTTCTTCCAGCTTCTGCTTCAGTTGCAGCAGTTGGCTCCTTTCCTCCTTTGCTAAATGCATCTTTGTCTTTGGGAAGAAAGGAACTGCTCAGCAGCAGCAGAGGGGACACCACTGAGGAGGCGGGCAGCATTGCCAGGGCATTCCCCATGAGTCCAGCCTCCCCACTGCTCTCCTAATGCCTCTTGCTCCTGAGGGACAGACCCCTGCTTTCTACCCTTGCAGCCCTAGCACATTTCTGAACAAAGACAACTCATTGTACCAGAATGTGGTATGCTTCTGTGATAATTAGACAGACCAAAAGCATCACAGAAGTGTGAGGTCTAGTGACCCAACAGTGTGGTCCAGTCACCACTCACCCTCAGCAGAGCCTGTCTAATAGCAAAAGTCTATTCCATGAACCAAACCTGGTAGGAAGCTGCCAGCTCACTACTCAAAAGTGCGTCTTTCTCAAGTTTCTCACGAAGGTGTTCTGCTTCTTTTTGGAATTCCTGAAGTTTTTGCTCAGAAGTTTTCTTTGCTGCTTTTAGGTCTGCTCCATCTTGTTCCAGGGCAAAACAGCGGTCCTGGAAAAGGCACCACAAAGCATGGTTAGCGCTGCCCCCTACCCCACCATTGTGGAAAGCAGTTGAACAACCTTTTTGCCCAGGAAACTCCAGTGTATAAAATATGACTGTATAAAATACACTGTATATTAGAGTGTATAAAATATGACATTGACTTCCCACGGGGGGGCGGGGGCAGGGACACACCTTGTACTTCTCAATTTCCTTCTGGATACATTCAGGTGTCATTGTCAGAGAGAAGTTCTTCAGTGAGTCTTCATCTGGCAGCTGGACGAAGGACTTTTAAAGGTCAAGAAAGGTTAGTGAACCTGCAAGTTTCCCTGTCAACCCCAGTCCTACACAACACAGCACAGAGCACTTCATGAAAAATGTACAGAGATGTGTAGGAGCTTTCCTGTGAAACTGAGACTTTCAGCTTACCTTGTGGGGGTCTCTGGCCCTGTGTTCTTGCCCAAAATTAGAGAGAGCTCCTTGATATCAACTCCCCAGTACGTTTCCACCCACAGCCATTCCCCCTGGGAAATGTTCCTGCCAGGACAACTTCCACTTTTGCTTTTGAAAAAAAAGCAGGTAGCAGCAAGGGCCCATAGAGTGCCTGTTTAATGATTACCTCCTCCAAATCCGTCATTGTGATGCTCGCACCTGTGGAGGGAAAGCACCAGGATGTCAGAACTGGGCACCAAAACCACCTCTCCGCCCTCCCCTTGGGTAAGGCTTCGCAGCACCAGACACAGCCAGCTGTGCTGGGGGGCTCGGGTAGAAACCCATGTCCTGCAGCCCACCACTACAGCATCAAAGGGCGGGGAAGGTGCGCTGCAGGGAGCTGGAGCCCTGGACACTGATCTAAGTGTCTGGCCTGAAATCGCCCTGCTCGCTGGCCATGGGTACAAGGTGCCTGGTACTCTGGGGAGCAACAAGGAAAAGCAAGAGAAGACAGAGCCCTGAATGTCAGAGGGGGGCAAGGGAGCCAGGCAGCAGCTCCAACAGAGGTGGGGAGCCAACCAGGCAGGGAAACCTTCCTAGTGTACCCAGTAGCTGGGCCACAAAGGGACCAGGGAGGAAGGGGACCCATCTGTAGGGCAGGGCAGGGGCACG